CTCTTTGGGGCAGATACCTAAAAAGGGAAAACATGGGTCAAATGGAATTTTATTTTCAGTGTTTTGAGAACTCTCCATACTGATTTCCATAGTGGTTGTATTAGTTTACACTCCTATGAACAATGCAGAACAATTTCCTTTTCCTGGCAGCATCTCTAGCATTTGTTATTATTTAAGTTCCTTCTTTTTCCCCCCTGTAAGTTTCTCAGTACATTTTAGGTACACATTATGGTCACATTTATGACTGGGGATTTGTACCTGTACGTGACGTACCTTGGTTCTTCTTTTTTCCCATTCCCCTGCCTTCCCTTCCACCCCTCCACCCCTCGCTAGTTACAAAAGCTTTGTTTCTGTGTTTTCATTCTTTTCTCATATTTTTCTCTCCTTCTTTCCTTTCCTCCAGCCTCCTCCCTAGTTCCCCTTTCCCTTTGAACCGTTTCTTCCTATTTCACAATATTTGTTATACATTTTAGTCCTTGTTTACACTTTCAGTTTCTCACTTTAATTCCTTTCTTTTTATATTGTATTTTTATTGGCACATAACTGTAGTGCATTCAGTTTACAGTCATCTTGGAGAGTGGGTACAGTGCATATTACAGTTTTCTTCCTTTCTTAATACCCTTCCCTTTCCCTTCCACTCCCTCCTTCTTCCACTAAATCCCATTACCCATTTTTGTTCTTGTGGATGTTGTTATTCTTATCTCATGCTTATAATATACAATGTTTACACTCATTTAGGATATTAGGTTCCTATGCATGGCTTATCTTTATTCTACTTGGATTCTTGATGATAGCCATTCTTTCTGTAGTAGCATGAAATCTCAGTGTTGTTTTAATTTTCATTTCTCTAATGCCCAGTGATGTTGAACTTTTTTTTTCACGTATTTATTGGCCATTTGTACCTCTTCATTTGTGAAATGTCTATTCATTTCAGATGACCATTTTTGCTTGGGTCATTAAATTTGGGAGGTCTAAGTATTTTGAGTTCTTTGTATATTCTAGATATTAGTCTTTTGTCTGAGGAGTAGCTGGAAAATCTTTTTTCCTATTCTGTAGGTTGTCTCTTTATTCTGTTGGTGATTTCCTTTGCTGTGCAGAAGCTTTTAAATTTGATGTAATCACATTTGTTGATTCTTGATATTATTTCTTATGCAACTGAGGTTCTGTTCAGAAAGTCTTTGCCTTGCCTACATCTTTAAGAGTTTTACTTAGTCTTCTAGCAGATTGTTTGTGTTTTAATATTTAGTTCTCTGTTCCATTTTGATTTTAGTTTAGTGCATGGTGAGAGATATGGAGTTAGGTTCAATCTTCAGCATGTGGGTAGCTAGTTTCCCCAGCACCATTTGTTAAAGTGGCTATTTTTCCTCCAACCAAAGTCTATCATAAGTTGTATCTATGCAAGGGTGAATGAATTATTTATAAATAAAAAATTAGGAATTTTACTTATTTATAACTTTGACTCTTTGGCAGTTTCCCAGCCTCGAGTGGGAGCTTCGTTACCTGACTCATTTATTCAGTCGTATTGACTTTGCATTCCCTAAAAAACTGTGGACTAGGATCACAGGATGCAATCTGGTACTATCTCATGAACGTCCTTTCCTGATAGGTGCTTCTGTAACTTCCTTTTGAGTCCGGAAAGGTAGAATAGGAATTAGGAAGACAGAGACAGTGATGGCAATGAAGGGAGTCAGGAAGAGTTTTGGGAAATGCCCAGAGGAAGGTGGGAGCAGCTCAAAGAACTCCATAAAGGCAAATATAATTTCCTAATTTTGAAATTCCAAGAAAGGTTGGCACACCATCAGGAGTCAAAACTTGTTTGTTGAATGAATGCCTGTACTTTATAGACAGTGCACAGGTGCTTTTTCTGGTGACAAGAGCAGCAGTGTAAGATTCGTGACTTGGGTCCATGCTTCCTTTCTTGTTCTTTCATGTATCCATTTGTTTATTCACCAAGTTTTATTGGTCATCTAATTATGCTAATTACCATGGATGATTCAAAAGTGATGAAGACATAGTCTTAATATCAAAAGCTTTTAGTGTACCTAGTTGCCCCATGCACTTTAAAATCCATAGCATGAGGTAGAAGTCAGTCAGTGCTACACAGCAGAGATAGAATGAAATATTGTAAGAGAAGGGAGCTATCCTTCTAAGTTAAGGTATTTGGGAAAGGAGATGCTAGTTGAATGCAGGAAATAGAATTCAGACAAGCAGACACAAGGATGAGGAGGGGTGAAACTGCATGTTGAGTTGAGAGTAAGAAAAGATAAAGGAGAAAGATAAAATTTATTCAGAGAGAGCAAAACATTCAGTGTAGTGGCGCCATGGAAAACCTTAAGGAAGGGCCCTCGACAGACAAGAATAGCTGATCATCAATCTTGAATATTTTCTTAAATGTGTGATGCTTTTATACTGTTACACTTAAAATGAAATTAAACTTTTGCATCCAGAGTTGCATTTTAAAAGAATAATTTTGACAGAAGTATGAGGAATATGTTGGTTAAAATAGGAATGGGGCAGAAAGGTGATTAGAGTTGTTTTCAAGGTTTAGGTGAGACACAAAGAAATTCCTTGTGAGTTTGGGGATGAGTGCAGGGGAGACAGCAAAGGTGGGATCACGTGACTGCTGTGACCCCTGGAGGGCTTCCCATGTGAAAAGAGGGGAAAGCAGTGTGAGGGTGACCAGCAAGAAGCTGGACGATGAGTGTAGTCAAGTGTCTGGGAGAGCAAAGCTCACTTATTGTAAGTGTGCTCAGACCCAAGCATGATTATGGACAACTTACCATGTGGGGTGTCCAGACTAAAATCACCAGGAAGCACCCTGCCTTTAATAATGGAAGCTCCTTGTCCAAAATCCCTACATGATCTATCAAAATCAAGCACCTCATTCTGGTATTTCCTCCAGCTGGGTTATATGCTCTTTTGTGATCCACCTTGCAATTTAATTTTCCATTTCATCCCACTTCTTAGTTAAATACAACCCACACCTCTATTAAAGTGTGAGTTCTGTATAAAGAACTACCTATTAAAATCTCACCTCTGCCACTTTACTCAAGTGTTTCTTCCACTGGGAAGTCCTTGGTTCCTACCCACATTTTCACATCCTTAGAGAATCAACCCCAGTACCACACTATCTTAAAGGGTACCTTCACAGAGCTTCTGTTCACATGCTTGTGGCACTCTTTACATACGTGTTCTTTTGACTTGCATCGGATCCTGTGTCGACATCTTAGCATTCTTATTCAGTTATAAGCTGTCTGAATACAGAGAGAAGGACACCTCTTATTTTCTTGCCTATAACTGGGACTTAACAAACTTAATTAAAACCAGACATCTGCCAATACCCATAAATGATGGTGAAAGTAGCAAAGTTCAATAGGAGAATGCAAATATTTTCATAGAAAGCTATCTTAGAAGTGATTGGATCCTGGATTAGGACTCCCAACATTAATGTGCCTAAAAGTCCCCTGGGGATCGTGTTAAACCTGTGTCCCAGGACGTATTATTAGATTCTCTGGACCTTGAGTCAGTATGCTGAGGGCAGGGAGAGGAATTTGCAATTCTGACAAAGGTTCCCATGCTGCTGCTGCTGCTCTACAGGGAGTCACACAGTGGGCAGCACTGGTTAACGGGTGAGCTTGATGCCAGGGGGCCTGGACATCCAATTCTACCAACACCTTTATTGGCTTTCTGATCTTCACTTACTAAATTTCATTCAGCTTCAACTTTCTCACCTGCAAAACTGCTGTAATAACAGAATCCATAGGTCTTGTAAGATAAACAAATGAATCTAATGCTGGAGAAATAAAAGGGATGGAGGGAGGGGGTAAAGAGGGGAGTTGGAATGTGTCAAGTACATGTACCAATTCCCTACAGTGAGTTCATGTACTGCAAACATGTACTGATAATTGTCAAAAAATAACAGAACCCCTTCAGATTGGTGTGGTAACTAAAGTAGCTGATCTATAAAATATGCTGACAGTATCTGAGGCCTAGCATGTGCTCAGAAAGTGTATCTGTGTATTTCATGGTACCAACAAGTCAACGGATTCCTAAAGAGCGTGGCCATCGATCTATGGTCTGTAGGATGAATCTGGCTCATTGACTGTTTCGGTAATGCTAGGAACTAAGAATAGTTTTGTATTTTTTAAATCTTTGAATGATATCAAAAGAAGAACATCTCGTACAGTAGGAAACTTATGTAAAATTCAAATTTCAGTGTTCATAAAATGTTGCTGGATCACAGCCATTTTCATTTACGTATTTGCTGTGGATGCTTCTGTGCTACAATGACAGTGTTGAGGAGCCTATGACAAAACACAAGGCCAGCAAAGCCTGAATGTCCCCTCACCCTGGAAAACTGGTTGCCATTCAGATACCACTAACTGACTTTATAGGGAATTATGGTGACTGGAACCATAGTTTCTGTTCTTTACCATAGCAATAATGCTCAGTGGCTATAGTTAACAGTACCAAAGTAATTAAAGATCCTTAGAAGCTAAATTATAAATAAAATGGGGAAATAAGATGGATTTAGATCCTTAGAAGCTAAATAATAAATAAAACTGGGAAATAAGATGGATTTAACGGACAAATGATAAAACAGGATAACTGACTGTAAAAGTTCCTCAACCCAGGAAGTGCTATTGGGTATCCCAAACCATTTTAAAAACAGTATTTATTATCCTTGATTATAAAAGCAATATAGCCAGGGATTTAGCTCAGTGGCACGCCTGCCTTGCAAGCATGAGGTCTTGAGTTTAATACCTGGTAACGAAAAATAAATAAAGAAAGAAAAAAGTAAAAGCAATACATTTTTATGGTATTTGGAGAATACAAAAATGCGTACAGAATATATATTGGCCACATCCTGAATATTAGAGATAACCACATTTAAATAATTTTTATAAATATGTGATTTTTATTGTACAAAAGTTATATATTTTTAGCATGACATTTCTCCAATATCCTCATATATTCTTAGAGAACACTTGAGTTTTATGGCTAACCATGCTTCATTGTCTGAATAAGCCACAATTCATTTAATCATTGCCCTCATATTTAATTTTATATTAAGATTTTGCTATTATTTTTCATAATACTAAAATGAACAAATTTGCTCATAGTTTTCTTCACATCAGTGAGTTCTTTTTCCTGCTATAAGTTACTATAAAAAAACACTTTTGTATGAATTTGAGCTGCTTTCAAAGGACATAAAAGAAATTCAGAGACAAAGGTAACTGTGTGTTTGTGTGTGTGTGTCTCTTAAGTTTTACAGATTTTAAAACCATACCAATTTGCGGGATAACTACCTAAGTATCATGAAATGACATATTATCTTTGACCAACCATGATCTTTTTTCTATATACCCATTCTTAAATCCATACCATTACAATCAGAAAGAGAATTCCCCCTTCCCTAAAAAAGACAGCGATAATCTTATCAAAAATATTTTATTTACAAAACAATCAATTATACTATACATCCTATACTGAAAATACATTGAATAATTGCTAAAATAAATACAGGCAATTAATTCAATTTTTATAAGTGAGAGATCTGACATTCGAATGTTATAAAAGCTTAACTTAGAACATAAATAGTTTAAAAAAGGCAAACTCAAGTTTTAGTATCATTTATCGGCATGATGTGTTTGTCTCACAAGCTCTCGGATGAGTGAGAGTTTGAGAATGTGAATGTAACTCTTTGTTCCCAGAAGGTAGAATGTGCAGCTTTTTCTTAGAATGTAACGTAGTTGTCTGCAGGAGAGGAAGCATTAAGGCAGAAAGCGTACCTTCATGTGTCTGCTTCACCACAGTATCCTTTGTGTTTTCTGATTGTGTTCAACACAGGTCTACACAGCACCAGCTACACGGCAAGATCGACCATGCAACGGGCCAAACTGCATCACTGAGGCTCCCTGGTACCTGGTCAAGTTTAGAGTGCCTGGTTTATTATTTTTATATAGGTAAGCCAATTCTTGATATATGCATTAAACCTTGCTATCATTTCTACTACATAGACATCTTTACGGATGCCAAGAACAGAAGAAATGAAGCCATTATTGGCACAGTTTAGAAGAAACCCCCATGGAAGGTAAAACAACTTCAATCTGTCGATTTTGAATCTGCACTTTGTAATTATTAGAATTTATCCAATTCACCCATGTAAACATCATACTAACATGTAATATGGAATTGGCAAGCAGAAAAATATAGACAGGTAAAACACATGCATACGTAGCACTGTGTTGTATTTGTCCAAATTATATACATGAATTTTCTGCTTCCCATTTGACTTGGCCTGGGAAACCTGAAGGAATTTCTACAGATTATTCACCCCTGATGCTCAGGTTTTGTCCAGTGCTGGGCTAGTGTTTCCTTTCAATGACTAGCCTCCCTTTTAAAAAATTGCATGAAAAAAATTGCACGTTTCTACCCCTTTGGCCTTAATTTCCAATGATTTATTTTTGTATATCAGTAAATACGTTTACTCCCAAAGTGTGACAGGTATATTGACCTTCTCCAAAAGAAATGAAAATAAAGTTAAAATAGTGAAAGTTTTAAAACATTTTCACAAACTATTCAGTTTTAAAAGGTAGAAAGACAGAAAAACATTTTATTCTATCATAAAAATCAGTCAACCAAGCTTCACATTTTGGGCAGGTATTTTTTAAGTATGAATTTTTTCAGAACCTATTTTATTAAAAAAAAGAAAGAACAGGTGTATTTTGGCAGAGAAGTAAAATATAGAATATGCAAAATTTGTTTTAAAAATTGGCATACAAAATTGTAAAACACAGTACAATTACATCAAGATACAGCACAGCCAACGGCCTTTAAGATTTCCTTTGGCATTTCATTTGGTATAATTAAAAGAGAAAATCCTTCCAAAACATTAGCTATCAAACAGTCTGTAAGTTAGGTTGTACAGGTTGAAAGAACTTTTCCTTGAGTTTCCAACATTTTCTTCCATGGTAACCCACAAAAAGCACGGCTAGTGAGGTATATAGGGCAACACTGTCAGGCGGACGCACAGTAAGGACAAAGTGCATAAACAAGGAATTCATTCCATTTTCATAGACATAACAGGTTACACCGCAGGGTCTGCTTATTGATGTATCATTTTACTTTGGCAGAATCAAAAGAAACCCATAGAAGTGTCTTTGTTCAAGTTGCAGCAGCAGTGATGTATCTCCTTGGTGGCACAGAGGCCACAAACTGTACAGCCCCAAGAGGGAGTCAGGGGAGTGTGACTGCAGATGCCAAACCAGATACGCTCATACGTCCAGCACCATGTCATACTGCTGTCCTTTCTTCCGCCTGCCACACTTATTGATGAGAACCACGTACAGTGTCAACAGCATGACCCAATAGCATGCATAGAGCAATGTTCCAACAATTAAAACTGTCTGTTTGGATTCAGAAAATGGCTTTTTAGATTCCTTATAAATGGTGAAAATCACACCACCCAGGAGAATTGTAAACCAAACTGACACTGGGATGAGTCCTATGAAGTTGACAACAATGGTTTTCCTTCCGGATGTGCCCCACCCAGCTTTGTTTATTGTTGCAATTGCAAACATTTTGGCAGGAAGTAAACTTGACATATACAACACTGAGTAGAGAGACATAAAGACCATGATGATGTTTCCTCTGAGGCAGCTGGCAAAAGATGATTTTATGAGCCCTACCAGCTGGACAGTTAGCAAGAAGAGAAGGATGTTCCAAATTTTCCCCCTGTAGAAGAGCTGGATTACTGTGGCAATGAGAAAGAAAGGGAAAAATCCAGTGATGACTGCTTCATAGGTCATCCACAAGTGATGCTTGTGGAACCACATTGCATTGTACAGCCACTCTCGGAAGTAGGACTTGCTCCAACGGGTCTGCTGGTTCAACCATCTGAGATATTCGATTGGTGTTTCAGTAAGGCACTTGGACCGAGCTGTGTATTTTGTGGCATAGCCCAGACTCAGCACCCGATTTGTTAGGTGCCTGTCATCTCCAAAACTACACTGGTTGCCCATGAATTCTTGACTGTACCAGTCTTCCACAAACTCATGCAGCAGGGAGTTTCTGTACATTCCCAGAGGTCCACTGATGCACTGGACACACCCAAAATACGACTGACAGGCCCTTTCTATATTAAAAGCCATCCAGTATCTCACACTGCTGAGGAAAGAGATCCAGGAATCATACTTGTTTAAAATCTGCAAGGGAAATAAATAATAAAGGTAAGTTTTAGCTGCACATACCAAGCAAACCTGAACCATCCTGAGATTACCACTTAGCATAAGATTTGTTCCTCTCTACCCCTATTCTTGGCATCTTTCCTCTTTTTGACACGGTTACATCTTGTCTTCTCTAAGAACACTGTTTTCAGTTGTGCGTGCACATCGTCCATAAACTCTTCTCTCAAGAACGCTTCCCTATCATCTCCAACATGAAGGTTTGAATGTCCCAGTCCCTGCTGCTCTGGTTAATTGCCTACTGCTCCAGTCCATCTTTGCTTCCTTTGCTATTCTTCTCTGCAATGCCAGTGATGAAAGACTTGGCTCTGGCCACCCCATAAAATTAGAATCTTGAAATAATGCTTTCTGTAACGACTATTACAAATTATAAGCTGCTACTTGGCAATATGTCAAAAGTCTCTCTCAGTCTCATTTGTACTGCATTTTCCTCTGGAGTGTGCATGTGTCCTTGTTATCCTCAGGCTCTTTCTTTTTGCTTTTTGATGCAGTTTCTTTGGCTTCACTACCAACATCTGATACCAAATGGGTAAGATGGCAACAGAGCATCTAAATGTTAATGTTAACTTTCCATACTCTTCTTATTTTTTTTTGCTAAAATCTAACCTCGTGTTTTCAGAGGCCTCCTTTTAATCCCAGTAATTGCTTACTACTCTTTCACATACTCCTCTTTGTTCCATCTTGTAAGATTCAAATTTCCTTCATTTGTATTTGTTGTTCACAAATGGTTTCTCCATTGATAATAAAGGATGGGTCATACTGGAAAACTCACTTATTAACTTTTTCCTTTCTCATTAGTATAAATGTGGCCACCGTTTAAGCACAGAGGGATAAGACATAATCCATTCTCTACCATACTTTCATTTCTCTACTCTTGTAACTAGCTGAACTCCAATGTCAAATTTTAGTGGAACTTTGAACATTCAGTTTTTGGCCCAAGGATATATAGTGGAAAGCATTAAAGCATCTATGTCATCTTGCATATACTTATCGGCCACTATAGATATAGGTTATACTCCAGCAAGGAAATCATGAATCATTTTAATTTAGCTGGAAAAGAGGCAGGACAAGCCATAGTTCAATGTGCCACAACCATCAGGAACAATTGACACAGAATTGGTGAGCAGTAAGTATGTAGCCAGTGAATCAGTGAGTCATATTAAAAGTGTCTCATGCCAAAAACGAAGCCATGTGCACCTGGACATCCCCCCCAACTCCTCCAACCATGGGGTCTTCTTCTAAAACTTTCACCATCTCCACAGATGAGGCAGGGTCCAGCATGGTATCGGAGTCACAAACCTGCAAAGAGGAGAGCAGAAAATGGCTTAATGAGAAGAAAGAGCTCTGACTGCATTTCACCAGGCACAGCTGTGCATAAAGGTCATGCTCAGGCTTCCTGTGACAAGGCCTCAGAAAACATGTATCACAGAGATGATGGGTATGTGAGGTCACGGCCAGCAGAAGTGTTTGTCAGCAGCCTCCATATTTAAGTTAATGGCATTGCTAGGTAGAATAGCTAAGATGACTTTTTGGGAATGAAGTTTAGGGTAAGCAGCCTGTTCAGGTTTTCCAGAGATGTCCCAAATTTCGCCAATGAGAGGCTCATGTCCTGATTAATTCTCTAGGCCTGGCAAACTCAGAGGGAATGTCTTTTACCAAGTGCCTTAAGTAAATCTTTTAAGCAACTTATCCTTTAGTTCTAAGTAATAAAATATTCTATAGTGGTATACTGAAAGGAAGACGTATTAAGCAAGGATTTTCTAATGTAGTAGATGAATAAAAGAACAGAGCAATTCTCCTATAGGATAAAAGAAAAAAATTCTATAGAAAAAAGAAATGAGCAGTTCTTCTACAGATGACTGAACAGTTTGGAAGCAGATGCTCACATGATTTGCCTGTCACAAATAAATGACACTACATCGAGAGGGGAGTAGTAGGGCCTTCAGAACACCTTTTTATTCTAGAGTGCTAACTGCTCACCCAGGTGTTAAGAGTTCAAAAGTCACCATAGGGTAATACACAGAGGTCAATTATCAGTCTCAAAAAAAATCTTTATATGGAAAAAAAAAGAGCCAGTGCTGAAACCAAACCAAGCAGAGCAGAAGCAGAAGATTCAAGGCTGGATGGTGTAGGTCTGTCCATCACACTGCCAGTCAGTCTGGCTTTTCTGTTTGGACCACATCCAGAGGTAGCTTTCTAACAATCCATCAGGAACAGACGTGCATGTAATGGTGATGTCACCTGGATCTCACAGGCACGCTGGCTGTGAGTGAAATGATGACCTCACCCATGCTACCTTTCTCAGAGACCATCCCTGTTGCTGAGCAACACACGACTGTATTCATGACCAAAAATAACTTTTTAACTCTTCTATAACTCTTCTAACTAAGCATGCAATTTGTAGAAACATGAAGGCTCAAAAGTTGAAGATGATATCAGATATATTTAGCAGGAGTCCCTCGCACTGTAGCTAAGGAATCTCAAACTTTTCAAAAGTTTCTCCCTCAACTGTACTAACAGCTCTGTTTTTCCTAATGAAAATAGTAATTTAAATGAATCATTAGAATGGAAGGACTTAAGCAGTATATGGGACCCCTAGTTATAAAACATGAGCTAACCACACCTCTAGATTTAACTAATTTTAGCAATTTGGAAGTTAACATCCAGACTTTTAAAATTTCACTTTACTTAATTAAAAGTACTCATTTTCTAAAGAAAAGCATAGTTTTGGCATTTCACTTAAATTCAGCATAGTCTCATTTATTTTTATGCTAGAAACAGGATTTTACTAACATTGGGTTTAAATCCAAACACCCAAGCCTGTGGAAGCCAGCCAGAGCCACCGGATAGAGACTTTTCGCCTCCCCACTGCTTTGGTTGTCCCTGGTTTGAACCTGGCTACAGGGTGGGGGCAGAAGGCCTAAAAGGAGAGCACAGAAAACTGAAGCAGAGTCCAGCCCACCTTTAGAATCAGCGCCTCAATTTCATGGCTACACCCACCTCTATTTACTCAAGCTGGGAAAAGTAAAACCAGAAAGCTAAAATAAGACTAAACACAACAGGAAGGGAGCAATCTAGCGTTAATGTTCAAATAACTCCGCCCACTTGTGAGCACAGCAGGCCAGGGAAACTGCCTCTTTGAAAGGACTGCACTTGAGCACACTTCTGAGGTTCTGTATATTTAAATGGGCCCTGCCCTCCCAGTTTCCAAATGCACAGTGCCAGATGTGGTGTGAGTGTGAGAGAGACTGTTTGCTCCGGGACATTACTCTGTAGAAGGGAAAGCTCTCAGAAACCTCCTGGGGAGGAGTTTGTCATATTGAGTAAAAAGCTGCAGAGATTTCCGTTTCTGGATACTGTCTGCCGACTGAATGCCAACTAGAAAGCCACACTTTGTTAGTCTACAAAAGCATCACCACGACATTTACCTATTAGGGTATAAAGAATATGGCTTTAGCTCTTAAAATCCATATAGCAGGGCAAAATCTCTTGCCACTTTATGCCTATCAATACAAGTATGCAGTTTCATGAATGTAGGTTTTTCAGCTCTGTGCTAGAGTCTGAGCGAGATCCATACCAGATTGTGCCGAAGTGGACCTCACATAAGGAAAAACTACAAGGTGTGGTCTGAATACAGGGAACAGAACCAATCAAAAGTCTTCTGGCCCACAGAAGGTGTTCCTGTAAGTTCTGAAGCCATGGGATCACTGCTTGTAAGATTTTGCCCTAAGAAGATATGGGAATGCAGCAAAGTCTCAATGTGTGAGTGGAGTGAGTGGAAAACATCAAAGACAGAAGACGTCACCATCGCTTCTTTGGCACCCTGTCCAGCCAAGAGTTAACACCGCCCTTCTCCTCCCTGGCTACAGCAGCAGAGGCCAACTGAGACCTTCAGGTGAAGTCCAGTCTACTACCTCTTTCACTATGTCCGTGGAGCTGTGGAGAACTTCATATTTTAGATGATTGAAAAAAATAAAAAAATATTTTGTGCTCTATATAAATTATAAGAAATTAAAATTTCACAGTCCATGAATAGTTTTATTGAAATCCAGCCATGCTCGCTCATTTACATGTACTTCATAACTGCTTTCACAGGACAAGAACTAAAGTTGAACAGTTGCAAAGCCTGATATTTATTATCCAGCCAAAAGGATATAAAAATAAGCAAAGTTTGTTACTCAGGGTTGAAAATAATTGGTTCCAGGAGAAAGGTCCTGTTTACATAAAAATAACAGCAACACTGAGATTAAATACATTTCAAATTCCTATTGTAATTTCATTAGATTTTTTCTAAAGTTTCCTCCTGCTTTATGCATCATGAAGAATAATTATTGCATAAAGCATAGAATATTAATAATAATCTACTATACAAATTGTCTTTAGTCAAAACTGCCTATTTTAAGAACAAATGCCTACAACATCAAGAACCCTAAATGCAAGTATTGAGTCCTGTAACTTAGGAAGCCTATTGACCTTGGACAAGCTTTTTACGACCATCCTGATGTATTAGTATGTAACTAAATGTGCTTTGTGAGTTACAAGGGGACTATAGAGAAGTATGCTGCAAATATAAAGAGATAATCCTTAAATTTTATACTCTGCAAGCAAACTCATGACAATCACTACCACAAATAGATGATGGCTGCAGAGTGAATCACTAGGAATTGAAAGAACTTGGGATTGATTCCACATTGCAACTCTCTTATCATATGAACAAATTTAGATTTATCCAGAGCTATCTACTCCTGTCCATTCCAAATTATCTCATTGATCTGAAAAGGGAATCTTCTTCACACCAATCCAAATAAACGCTCCTCTGGAAACGCTACTATCTGTCTACCCCATGCCTTCCAAATGTTATGACCCAATCTAAAGTGCTGTCTCTAGATGTTCACTTGTTTTCTCATTCTTCAACATCTTTCCTTTCGTCTGGACAAATGAATCCCCTCCTTTCCCTCCTATTCCACTTTAAAAGCTGTTGAAAGCCAACACAGTGAGAGGAAATTGTTCTGACCACCTTCAATGAGGAAACAGGTTGAAAATAAATCAGTAACCCTTCTGCTGCTCTAGTGCTGCCCTTCTCCTGTTCCTAAGTTTTAGTCCTTTCTTAACCCCGACTCTTCACCTTGCCCTTGACCCAGACTGTGAAATTTCTCTTGGTCCTTGCCATTACTTAATTACAAAGCAAACAGAAGTTCTGTTTCTCCCACTCCCCAGCCATTGTCTTAATGAAAAAAAAGAATAAAAATTTCAAAAATAGTTACTTAGTAGGAAACACAAGATGGTGCCCCTCTCCCTAAACTCCTAATAGTACACCAGTGTACCGAAAAAAACACACCGTGCAAGGCTTTGGAATCAGATAGGTCTGGGTGCCAATCTGCAGTGTCTCAGCAGGTAAACTTGGTAAAGCTTCTTCGCTAGGGTCTCTTTACTCATCTTCACAAGCCTCCATTCGTCACAGGAAAAGCATGGATAACATATTGGTCTCCTAAGTTTGTTGTAATAGTCAATGAAATAATACATGTAAATCACTTAATAGTGGCTAGCTCATAGTAAATGCTCAGCAAACGGAAGTCACAAATACTAAGAAGAGATAAACCAAACTGAAGGCAAACATTCTTGAAACTAGGCCCCAGAGAGAGAAGGGATCTTTGTTATAATTACTGTAAATAAGCTATGACGCACTCAAAGAGAAGGAAATCAGTACCTCCTCTAGTATCTAAGAAATTTAAACAAGACAAGTTGAATTCTGGAGCCAGCAATATAAATGTCTTTAGGTTGTTAATTGGCGAAAATAAATAAAATAATTAACACCAGTTTGCCAATGACTCTGATTCATCCATGACCTGCAATAAGTCGGGGTGTAGTGCACTGAAGCTTATCCTGCAGCAAAGGTGGACCTAGACCCGCTGAACTTCACAAGCACGTCGCATCTTTTTATTAACATTAAACTTTCAGAATGCGATGCTACTAATAACGGGAACTCGATCTTTGGTTTTGAAAGTATAGAAATGTAGATGGGCAACGTCCACCTTTAAAATCTGCTGCCTGAGCTGGGCATGGGGCACATATCTATAATCCCAGCTACTCAGGAGGCTGACAGGAGGATTGAGGGTTTGAGGCTAGCCTGGGTTACTAAGCAAAACCCTGTCTCAGACTAAAATGAAAAGGTCAGGGCCCCTAGGTTCAATCTTCAGTACTGCCAGTAAAATAAATTAATAAAATCTAGATGTTGAAAATTGCATTGTCTGGTGAAAAAGTGTAATGTATGATGGTTTCTGTGGGATTTTTCATGTGCAGGATAAGGGGGAAACCAAAAATTGAGGACAAAAATAACCTTTGCATAGAATACTGCATACAATTTAGAATTTCTCACATAATCAAAAGGTTTGTCCAAAGCTTACAGGGAGCTAGGGTTACAGCTGAATGACAGGTCTGCTTAGTACACACAAGGCCCTGGTTTCATCTCTAGCACTTACTTAAAAAACTCAGTCACCAATGGCCACTAACTGTCATTAATTATACTACCACAGACTTCGAGGGATTTGTAAATACTGCATGATGCTTTATTTTTGTAAGTATTGATTTTCTGTTTATTTGCATTCTAGATAAATGAAATGCAGATGTAAGTATACAGTTAAGTTTATAAGCCTCCGATTATGTGGTAAATACAAAATCATAAAATCTAAAAAATTTCCAAGCTACAAAGATCCCTTGAAATTAATAAGTAAAAACACTCCAGAAGAACGAAATATACTAAAATAATAATATAATAATAATTAATAATAATAATAAGCATCTTTCTTTGGGAAAGGGCATAAGGCATGGGAAGGATGATTTTTTTCAAAGTAATTTAGTTAAGGATGAGCTCTCAAATCTAGCCAATGAAAAAATCTCTATATTATAGCCACCTAAGAAGTTTGGCATTTCTGCTATTTTTCTTAAAAGGAAGCAGAAAGATATAAGCATTCCTTGTTAGGATGAATTCTCTAAATTGTTACAAAATGGGTCCTTCAGTCACCCTATAACATCTCCCACCATTCAAGTGAAAACAGCACTCACTGATTTCTCTTCTCCTTGTTAGGAAAGCTGGCCATGAAAGTTAACAGGAGGTACAAAGCAAAGGTGACAAGCCAGCTGCAAAAGTGACAACAAAATGTTGTCACCTCTGCAGTTGTCCGTAAAACACTCAGGATGTTTGGAGTTCTCCTTCTAAGGAAACCCGCCATGATGGTTTTCAAATCAGGATGTCGTTATAAGAACCCCCAACTTTCGAGAAAAGGGTAGATTTTAAAAGAGAAAGTGAGAAACATGACAGTAGCTGATGAAAGCAAATTCCAATGAGCCTTTTAATTTTGTTTTGCTCTCACTCTGGCAGAACTTCAGTGGGCTGCTAGAAAGAATCAAGAGGCCAAAGGATGTAAAATGGCACCAAGTGGAGCCCTGCATGGGGAATCTAGACATAACCTCTGCACTAACTCAGGGGACACCAGCAGAAGCACAAAAACAGGAGAAACATGGCATTAAGCGGACTATAAGTAGGATAACTGTTTACAGACTGAAAGCTGAGATAAGGAGGCAAAGGATCCCTCTGTCTGACACCAGCGGGCCCCTGTGCCTGTGGGGACTCCCACTGTCTGCCACAGGGTTCGTGTATGCAAGTGAACACTGGATTGGTGCAGGTATGGCTTTTGAGGTTAGAAGTAAATTTCAATCTGCAAATAAACCTTCAAGTACAGAATACATGAATAATGATGGTCAACTGAACTATAATGAATTACATAGCTTTATTTTTTCCACTTACAGCATTTTGGATATCTAGGATTCTACCGGATAAAATTGTCTCATAATCTTCCCTTTAGGAAAATGCTCATATGTGGTATACACTAGGAAAGTACACAGTTTTATCCTGGGCAATGTCTCGTATACACATTAGGGGATATTATTTATTTTCCTGTCTGATAAGATTGGTGACCACTTAAATTGTTGTACGTGTGATCAATGACAGAAAGTGAAAAAAAACAAGGAACTCATCTAGATACCAAAGTATATTTTGTCTTTTGATGTTATGTCAAAATGATCCAAAAAAGTTAAATTTATCCCAAACTGTTTATAGAATGAAGGAAAAGTAAAAGAAAATACACTGGAAAGCATTAATCCATTGGTCTTTTAACTGTTGCAAATAATTTTAATTTTGCCATTTTAAAATTCTTTTTTTAAACCTGTTAAATGTGCTGTTTTAGTAAATAAAAAGTCAATGGAAGCACTGTTCTGATGAGTATTGATATCTAATCCAATCAGAATTGGTCCTTTATTGAAGAAGTTTTCAAGGATCTCTAGAAAACAAAACTAATTTTTAAAAATCATCCTCATACTCTTTTTTGTGTTTACAGTCCCTTCACCTTTCTCACTTCATTTTTCCTCCATTTTCCTATTTTCATCATCTCTGAATGCTGGTACCTGCATCCCATCCTCGGGTGAACCTGCAGCTGTGGTGAGTGTCTCCTAGAGTAGGACTTCCCCAGTGCTTTGTGTCAGCATTACTGAGTGAAAAGCCCATGGAACTGGAAGAGTATCCAGGAGAGAAGACGACAAATGAAGGTGAGCCAGACAAAGGGTGGTCAACAATAAAGCGCTGTTCCCATGCAGCCTAGCAGACCAGAGGCTGCAGGAGGGTAGGCAGAAAGATAACGAGTGGGTTGGGTACTACTGAGGCAGTGTAAGCAGAAGAGAAGAAAGATGGTCTTGAAAGCTTTTGGAGAGTGCTTTTGACTTGCTCCATAGCAGGACGCAAGGTCATCTGTTAGTAGTTAAGCAGAAAGGAGTTTGGACAGGGTTCTGGGAGCATGGCGAAGGTATGAAATAACAGTCCATGAGAGCAACAAGCAAGACATGCAAAACCAAGTGAAGAAAAGTGCTGATGACCAGATGTGGTTGGAAATCCGTGTCTGGCCATCTCCACAGTCAGGCAGTACTCTCCAGGAAGGACTCTCTTCTGAAGCACCACCTGAGCTTTGCTGCCCTCTCTCCCAAATCAGCCTGCATGCCAGGGCTGTCCCTGCCAACACCCTAACACCTTTCTTCCCCTCTTGTCTTTCTGTGGGTTCTGCTTTGTAATTTCCAAAGCCTGGGTGAGTCAGAATGAAAGACGAGTGTTCTGCGTTTGGTATGAACCTTATGAAATTGCCATTTTTATAGGTCAAGTAGTTAAATATCAGGGGATTGGTTGAGGGGTGGCAGGATAAAATTACCAGTTGCAGAATGCAAAACATTTGTAATCTTATCTGCATGTTTGCACCTGGCTGGGAGTCCCAGGATGCATCAGGGCCCGGTTGAGAGCAGCTGCTAGAATCAGTCCATGTGGAGCTGCAGTGGGGAGGATAGTTCTCAGGCCAAGGGCACAAACAGGAAGCCTACTCTGCCCTTTCATATTTTACATTATTCTTTCCTGGACAGGCACAGAGTAAAGTTGTCAAGGAGACAAACAGAATTCAAAACAAGTATGATGGGAGAAGGGGTTTAGAAGGAGTAGGCTAAGTGAAAGGAAGAACCCATGTAGTCATGTCTTGATTAGAACTGAAAATGCAGTAGTTATTTTAACTAGAAGTAAAAGCAAAATATCAAAACAGAAGTTTTCTTACATTAGGCACAAAGCTTCATTCTTTATATCCTCTCTAAAATCCTCTCTCATGCTCATGTCTAGATTAGATCTTCTCATCTAGGCGCAAAGTTGCATCATGTAAATGCTACTGAAACTACCTTATTCATGAAGTTCCACCATCAAGAAATTAGGAGAAATTCAAGAAATTCTGCCAATTCCCTGGAAGTGAGATTAGTATACAGATGAGCATCAATGAACAAAAGTCTTCAAACTCTCCAGGCATTAACTTTACTAACTCTATGGTAACAAAGAGCAGATACTAGAATTTTTAGTATGGGGTCAGTGAATATGTAATAAATAGTATGAACAGCTTTAAGTGTGTGACAATAACATCATACATACTTTCCCAAAGCACCTGCCATGTGGTATGAGACACAACTATCTGAACCCACCATGAGACTGGCTTGTTCTCTCTAGTCACCTGCGGCTCAGAGTTGGACTCAGTCAATAGCTGTGAATACTGACCTCAGAGCCGATGCCCACCCGCACCTCACTGTTCCAAGACTCGATGGGCACAATTTTGCAGAAACAAAGGCCCTACAGGATAGGTCTTCTGAAAATAGGGATTTTATTTTTAAGAGGTGGGGAAAATGGGTCCGGGGTATTTCTTAAACTAGACACACTTCTCCCTTCTTGATATCATCATGCTCAAAATCAAACTACAAATTAAAATCTAAAAATGCATATGAACCCTATAAATGTTGAAAAGAAGAAAGCCTCGGTGAGAACTTCTCCAAGAAACACAAAGTGAGCTGTCCAGGAGTTATGAGAGACACAGCCAACCTGATTTCATGCAAGCAAATATCATCACAAATGCTTTCAAAGGTCAAACTGGAGTGAGTGAGGTAATGCTGTTTGGGGATTGAAATAAACATTACTTTGAGTTTGCTCTAAGATTTTCTTTTTATTCTTTCCCTTTTCTCCCTCACTTTCAATTCTGAATTCCTTGCTCACAAATCAAAATCGTTGCCACTCCTCCCATTTTGCCCAATGTATGTGCAAAACATTTTACAGCTTTCCCTTCAGGCTACAGATTTTCTCAAGATCCTTCTGCTCAGACAGACACTATTTTCTTATAGAGCTAGAGATGTTTTTAAGTGTGGAAAATGACGTTGGATTTGAGCGGGCAGAGCCCAAGGGACAGAGAAGGGAAGAGGGAGGGGACAAAGGGAAGGAAGGGTCTCTCATTAAAATAATCTTGGTTCTCACCAACACTATGGCACAGGTTGAGCATTTCCATAGGTAGTTTTAACAGTTTTAGAAGGCTTTTTTTCTGCCTTTCAAAACGTGCTCTCAACAGTCATGCTATTTTCCAATGGACTGAAAGGAGCCCTGTGCTCAGAAGGGACAGGGATGGACTACAGAGTACGACTGGAGAGACACAAAGGCTGCTTTATTTCAATATATGTTTGCCCTGGGAGGAATCTGGAGACCTACCTGCACATAATCCACACTTCGTCCCAGGGCTCGGAAGGCTGTGTACATGACTTCTCGTTTTCCACCCCACTTTTGCATGATGCACACACTTTTACTGGACAAGACCAACTGTGTCACGTGCTGTGAGCTCTCTTTATGTGACTCATCCGTCTCACCAGGACCCTTTTCGTGGAAGTTGTTTTTCCAGATGTAAGTGGCTGACTTGTCCCTGCCCATGACTTCGCTGAAGATGTCCATCATGTACAGGTCATCATCCGAGTTCCCATCTATGACCATGACAACCTTAATCCCGGGGTAGGTGAGCCTTTTCACAGATTGCAAACATTTTCGTAAGTAGTCTGGGTCTTCTTGATATGCAGCGATGCAAAGAGCAACAGTTTTGTTCAACTTAATGGGGGTTTCTAGAGATTTTTTCATTTTCCTGTGTTCCAAAAAGGCAAATAGGCTTTGGATGATGAGATGTGATGCTAAAAAGGCACCATATAATCCAAAAGAGAAATAGTAATTGTCCGTTTGGATAAACTGGTAGCCAACGATATAAGCAGCTGTGATTCCAAGGAGAAGAGAGACTCCAAAAAGCGTGGTTCCAATTATTCTCAGGATACATAGAAACCTCTCACAATGCATCTGCAATATAATCAGAGGATACCCCAGGTTAACTAACCACTCTTGGCCGGGCTGGTTATGCACATGGTGTCATGGTGGGAGGAGCACCGTACAAGAAGGATTCAGGAATTACACCGAGCTTCTCACTCAACTTGCTAAGCACTTTCCACACCTTACACTGCTCTTCTGCAAGAGCGGCTTATGGACACCCTTCTGGCATGATTCAGAGGGCTACTGCAAGAACCAAACGAGGTGATGGTGCTAATGAAATATCACAGGCTATTTAAGCAAATACTTGGTTGTGTTTTTGCTCACATGAGAGCTTTTGTCTGAGGCTGCACTCTGTGTATGTGATCATAGGTAGGAAGGGAAATGACTTTTCTTAAAGCACAAAACAATCTTTCTGTACCATTCTTCCCCTCAGTCCCTGATAATGGTCAATGAAAAGCAAACACAAAGATTGCTGAACTTCTCATGTGCAATCTCATTTCATTCTGACATCCTTTCCATGCAGCTAGCTGAAATTGGAGATCAGGATATCTGGCTTCTAGTAGCAGCCCATCAACCAGCTGTGTAATCTGTCAGTCACCTTACCTCTCTAGGACTTTTTAAAAATCTATTAAATGAAGGAATTTACACATGACTACTTCCAAATTCCCCTTTGACATTAAAAATTCTCCATCCTGAGATATTCTTCATAATTATCTCTCCAAGCCCCAAGGACTCCAAACTGTACACTTTGTTCAGCTGTCTGCTTCCTCTACTGTCACCAACATTAGACGGTTACATTCTGGGGCTGGGAACCTTACTGCAACACAATGAGCACACAATAAATGTTTTCAAAAATAATGAATAGATTAATGCTCAATTTCAACAGCTGAGTTTCCAGCCTATCAAAAGCTGCAAATATTAGACTTGAAACCTGTTTCAGGTCTTAGTAATAGCCAGTTTTGAACTCATCCCTATTTTTTTTGGTACCAGGGATTGAACTCAGGACCTTGCACTTGCGAGGCAGGCGCCGGAACCACTGAGCTAAACCCCTGGCCCTCATCCCTATATCTTATATATCTACTAAATAGGGTTTTAAGCAACTCATAGACAGGAGAGCCATTTTTGTGTGTGTTTGTCAAAGCATTTTCAGTGCTGAGTACTGGAAGGAGGCTTGGTTCAAATCTTTTAGTTTTATTTTCCCCGTGATGTTTTATGTCCTCCTGTCCTAAGAGTGAGGCATCATGAGCGAAATAATGGGTATAAATGCAGTGTTCCATTTTCTGTCCTTCACATCAACTTTGGATACTCATCATATTTATAAATGATTAATCATTTTTCTTTGATCCAGCTAATTTTTGAAAGCTGAATATATTTACTGTAAGTGAAAACCTAACCTAAGCAATTATCTCTGGAAAACCTCTTGCTCGCGTACTATTTATATTTCCCTGATCCATATTAAAGTCGAAATTGAATGTCCACAGAGTGCCTATACCACCTTGGTTGTTAATGGTTGCATGGCCATCACTCTTGCGTTCACATTCTATGATCATACACTGAGGGTCCTGACTGGTTATGCATTACACTTCTGTATCTCATTCCTGGGAAACTTCAGCATAGCTGCTTACGAACTTCATTACCTCTCATCCCGAGCACAGACTATGTGGTGGGCCATTGGTGCATTCCAGCCTCTGGAAATCTGAATGCACCTCTTCCACCTCTCCCCTCCACCAGCTTATATACATGCTCAAAAGACACTAGGGCCTTGCAAGACCTCAAGACAAGCTTAGCCCTTGGACTGCCATACAGAAAGCAGCCTCCCACCAACTAAGGCGGACTTGTGGTAGTAAGGAATCATTTCTTGGCTTTTGTTGCTTCTTTGTTTACCCATTGTGCACCTAGTCCACTTTAACTAAAACAACCTAGATAATATAGAGCAGCCTGGAGACCAGGACTCAAGCTTGGTGACATCAATTTCTTCTGTAAAATACAGGTAATAATACCTGTCAAACTTCTTCACAGGGTTGTTCTGAGGAGAAAAACGAAATAAAGTTTGAGAGTTTTTATAAAGCAGAAATGCAGTTCAGTTTAAAGCATCAGATAGCTAAGAATGTGAAACATACACAAAACAGAACACCAATTTGTGGTCCACTTTCAGCAGCTGCACAGGTCACCATGGCACTCAAGCTGGGAGCTTGATAAAAGTATCCAAACACAAAAGAAAGTTGGGACTACTGGAAAATGGTGAAATGCTGTGTTTTCAGGAAAGGTGAGGGAGTAAGCATCTCTTGCTCATTAACCGAGTTGGTGGGATGCTGAACGCTCCCAAAGGGCAAATTCACAGATGCCCAAAGGTGTGGGGACCACCAGACTTGGAACTTGTCATTTCCAAGACATGAGTCATTCTCACAAGAGTGAAAAATATCAAGGGGACGAAAGCACTTCGCCAGGGAGCAGCTTAAGTGTGTGTTTAGCTTGTGCTCGAAATCACCACCACCAGCAAAAGAACCGCCTGCCATTCTTTTCCATTATTCACATTTTCCTTGCTTTTATCAGCACATGTGGCCAGAGAGTAGTCACAGAGCATCTGCTGGCCACAGCTGAAGTGGGAACACCCTCTTACATCATCGGAGTCTACAAAATACCCTTTTGAAGCCTGGGAAAATTTACCAGCAAACTGCAGCAACGTGGCTAGAATTGAACCTTTATATTCCTGCTCAGTATGTCAGAGCTGCCTTCCAGGCCACACACAGCATTTCAGGGCAGCCAAAGCACATTTTAGAGCCAGCTTTGCTGAGGGAAGACATTGATCTCTGAGGGTGATATACAAGATCCATTTTTTAAATAATTTCCTTTAATAGTTTGGTAAATATGGGCACCATATGTGTCCAACTTCCTGGGACAATCCCTACTGAAAGGCTCTGCTTCATAAGCATACTCTCCTGGTGAAACAGGAACATGTCTACATTTCTGCGTTTTGTTACATTAGAAAAACAGGGTTAGTTAGATCATAATAGGATAATAGGAAATTGGTACCAATTATTTAATAGCTTCTCCATAGAATCCTAGCCTGAAACTGACGGTTATGGAATGGCTTAAGTCAACAGATATACACTAATGTGCTCCAAGTACTTAGAAAACTGCCCGATTTATAGTTGGTATTCAGTAAATATTTGTTATATAAATGAATGTAATTTCATCAACCTTATCATCATCATTATACCGGCAGCTAACATTCATTTATTAGATTTCAGGCAGTGGGGCATGTTTTTGTTTAGTAGATGATCTTTTTTAATCTTAATGTCTTGAGCTAGCAAATACATCATTCATCTTCCATCACCACATACGCATATCGCAAGCAAGCCAACATGCCAAGTATTTAAGTTATCTGCCCAGAGTCACAGAGCAGGGACAGGACCCACACAGCACCGTAAAGTGCCAGACTACAATAAATATTTATTCAATAGATTTGAATCTTCATGACAAAATAGGCAGCATTTTTCTGTTTCTGGCTAAAAATGCTATGCCATACAAGGAAAAAGAGGGCACACACTTTGAAGGCGGTCTTTGAAAGTAGGACTGTGTGCTACTGGGGAAGAAAGACAAGGCTGGCCAACTCCGAGGGCTTCCAGGTCAGACACTTTCCCATGTGAGTGTAGCCTAAGATCATGAAATGGGGTCGATTCAAACGGAGCTGCTGGTTTCATCTAGGAAACATCAAGTCTGCTCCTGTGCCAGAGACGACACCCTGCTTCCCCAGGAAAGGCACTGGTGTTGGGGCTGCATCCCCTGTGGAGCCGCACAAAGCCTCGCTGTTAGCAGTGACAGTGCAAAGGGACTCCAGGTTACTGGGCCTTGGACCCTTCTCTTCCCCCTTGACCTTTTATATTACCCAGAGAGCAAAAAGGTGGATGGCTAGAGACTCACAGCTGCTCTCACTTCCCGCCAGGGGCAAGAACTGAGTTCCCACCCTTTCATAGAGGAACCTTCCCCTTCTGAGATGGGAAAGCAGAAATGAATTCACCCCTGTTGAGTCAGTGAGCTTAAGTCAGCTGCTCCTCTTTGAGAGGCTGTAGTTTACCACTGCTTTCTAAAGTAAGTCCTCCACCCTGCCCTCTCCCCGACCCCAGCACGTGGTCTCCTCTGGCAGTGTGGTTTGCTTTTCTGATCTTCACCTCTGGCCGTTAAGTACTTATATGTCAAATGACTCTTGTGTCCTGGTACCAAACTTGGGCTTGTCACACAGAAGGTATTAAAGGAATACATTTTGAGTAAATGAATAAATTAATTTGGATTCAGGCAGTCAATGCTGACTGAGAAGCACAGGTTCTATCCCTCTCTTCATTGCAGTGGATAGATACTCAAAGCCAAACAGGGTGCATTGTCTTTCTTTCTTTTTCCTTTTCTTTCCTTTTTTTCTTAAACAGCCCCTATAATTTCTTGCCAAGTGTCTACAGGTAGTGGCTGTGAGGAGTTTCCAGAAGAAATCTGGATAACATGGGAAACATGCATGTTCCCCAAGAGCATCTACAGCACTGTGAGCTGCAATCTGAGCAATCTTATGAGTTCCAGGGTCAAGGCTGGGATTTGAGGGATCATAAAAGCATCTTTTATCAACCTGAAACCTATTATCGTTCTACTGTCCATTAATCCACACAGTTTTGTATTTGGTTCCATTAGAACCAAATTGTGATTATGTGTGCCGGTGTGTGTTAGCTCTTCTACTGGAAAAATTTTGTGGCATTAACAAGATTTGCAGGAGTTCTGAAATCAGATATACTAGTATTAAATCCAGCTCTGCCATTCCAGAGAATTCGGTCTGGGGAACCAGACTGAGTTGGGATAGAATTCGGGCTCTTCCTCTTAATAGCTGTCATGTTTCTAATCCTAGGACAATATACTCAACATGTATAGCTTAAAAGAAAATAGGTTTATTTTGGCTCACAGTTTTAGAGGGTTTAGTCCACAGTCAACTGGGCTCTAAGGCAGAAACATCATGGCAGAAGGACATGACAGAGAAAAGCTGCTCACCT